AGGAGGACAGAGGACAGGAGGGCAGGAGGACAGAGAACAGAGGACAGAGGACAGGAGGACAGGAGGACAGAGGAAAGGAGGGCAGGAGGACAGAGGACAGAGAACAGAGAACAGAGGACAGAGGACAGGAGGACAGAGGAAAGGAGGGCAGGAGGACAGAGGAAAGGAGGACAGAGGAAAGGAGGACAGGAGGACAGAGGAAAGGAGGGCAGAGGACAGAGGACAGGAGGACAGAGGACAGAGGACAGGAGGACAGAGGACAGGAGGACAGAGGACAGGAGGACAGAGGAAAGGAGGGCAGGAGGACAGAGGACAGAGGAAAGGAGGGCAGGAGGACAGAGTATAGAGGAGAGAGGACAGGAGGAATGACTGATACTGATATATGTCTGTGTTCTTCATTCTTTATAAACTTCACTCAGAAATGATATTTAATTTATTGACATTTTAGATTTTTGTTTCCAGTGCGATATTAAAACCTTGATATCATGACTTTGCTGTTGTACACATTACTGTTGCTGCTCTAGAAACTATATTGTTATATCTAAATTGTTTATAAATTCTATTCCTGTTTGGAATTTACTTGTTATTTATTCATGAAGAAGAAGAGAGTGTTGATCAGAGTAGCCTCTAGTAGTAATACAATCCTAAAGTTATCTATCCCTACCTGAAGGCCACCGTAGTTCTCACGCTTTGAACGGGAGGGGGGAGCAGACGGGTATTCAGTCGGCTGCAACTACATAAACTGGTGGTGCAACTCCTCACTGGATGCTGCTACATCTAACACACTGTTCCTTTAATTTAACTAATCTCTATTTAATGTTATTCTCTCTCTCTCTCTCTCTCTCTCTCTCTCTCAACAGATGTTGTGATCATGTGTTTTATATACTGTATAATGAGGCTATGGAACAGCTGTTTAGAGGAAATGTGTTCAACATGCTGGGCCATGCAACTTGGCATGTGTGTGCTTGCTTTGATTATAATGGATCTTATACATATCAAGCCACAACATAATCTCATCTCATTAATATTCATTTTTAGGCTATATAAAAATACAACAGATGTTGACTATATTATAGTGCTCAACCCTTTAAGCTGCCACAGAGACGATACCTGTCCATGGTTCACAGATTCTATGGCTTTGGCTCTGGTTTCCTTTAGTTCTGTGGCACCACGTGTGAGACTCCTACAGCCTGTAATGTTGTGTACTGTCCCCATAGCTGGTTTAGTGAGGACATAATCTAAACCAGCTACAGTTCTGCCTTGTGAGAAGCACATTTTGATCAAGAAAGGTCTAAGAGCTTGGCTAGACAATAGTCCCACCTTTCATTATCTAAAAATATAATTGTATTATCAGATATGGTTGTATTTATGAGTGACACTTGCAGGTTTAAGACATTAACCTGGACATTAATAGGAACAAATGTATTATTTATCATTGGCCATGGGGTGTTTTTGTAGCATTCTCATATTGTATGAGTCTGTATCTATGGTCTCCAAGAAAAAATATCAAACCTGTTCACTTGGTCATCAAATATCTAACAGTTTACAGTATTAGGTAATCAAGAACCCTCCCTTGTTGCCATCTTATGAAATTAATTAAAAGGAAAGGTGAACACAACAGATTTACAACAGAGAAATAACTTGATAACTTCTCCAGATAAACCAGACACACAACAGCAACACTGACGAAATAAAGACGGGGTAAGATATTCATTGGTTTCCAATTTAAACACAAATGTAGACAAAGCAACCAAGTTGGTCTAAATATGGGGGCATGGATTCAAGGATCAATCAAAAAGCATGCAAAGAAATGATAAAAGGTCACCCTGCAGAGAAATATTAAAGTGGAAAATGCTAGAACTTGTGGCAAAAAAAAAATGTTTTTAAGCCATCCGCACTAAAATAGGTTCAAATGCAGTGTAGCAATAGGAGGGAGTTGGCAGGGGAAGGACACTGGAAGAATTGAGAGGGTGCAACAGTATCCAAACGACAACTGCTGTCGGTTACACAAGGAACTGTTCTTGTGAAAGATGAAAAAGTTGATGGTAAAAAAAGATTTATTTTTTTGCCTTTTTATTTGCTATGAAAATTGAAATAGGGATGTTTTCATTAAAAGCCGCCTGGAACCCCCGAATATATATATATATATGCAGAAACAATTATCACCAAAACATCATGCCACACATGATGAGGCCAAAATACAACTGCATGTTTTTGGATGATTGGCGAATAGACGAGAATGATGTCTCGATAACACAATTTAGAATAGACATAACAAAACAGGAAATAGCATTTACTCCCAAAATAATACAACAAAGGACATTTTTAAAATGATAGCATGCAGTCAACGTCAAAGTGATGTTAGGGTTAGAATGATGTGAATTTCTGTGTAAACACATGATTGGATGACTGGGGCCCTGTCTTTGTCTTTCTTCACAGATTCCCATGAATTTCAGACTACACACTAGACTAGAGCGCTAAACCCATTTACACCGCAGCCCTTCACATACTCTTTGAAACAAATTGGGAATGACCTTCAAAAGGGAGAAAAGCACTGAGATCCTCACCAATCATGCTTTTGAATAAAGGAATTTGACTACAAATCTATTCCACCATATGGCGTTTATGCTTGACAGCAAAATATTTATTTTCTTATGAAATGTCAGCTTTTTATTTGCAAAATAGCTCACCTTGATCGATTCAGATATTATTGAGAAACAAGTCTGGTTGTTTGGTTAATAATAATAATAATAATAATAATAATATAAAAAAAAAAATATATAATGGTTTAACTGATGATGTCAGTGGGAGTCCTGTAAATCTGTAAGTACCAGAGGAGTTGAGTATGTGAATGTACTGTAACAGGAAGGTTTTTACAGGACTGGGACAGCTCGTCTTTATTCCCAACATCAACAAAATACTGAAGCTTACATGCCATTTAAAGCCAACAGCAGCACGTTAAAGGCATCCTGTTTGCTGGCTGGGTTGGATATCATGAATTGAATTACTTATGAGAGCATTCAAATAGGCACTATAGTCGAGAGGTTGTGTTGAATTGTTTTAAATGGGCTATAACTATACAGAAACATCATGTTATGAACATGCTCAAACTAAAGAACCTTCAGAAAGGTGTGTGACAGTTTGATTATTCCGTATGGAAGCGTCAACATGACTGTTTGCTGTTTCCTACTAAATTGATGTCACTTAAATACGGGAATTCCCAAATTCTTTCAAGCTAATTCCCTAAGCTATCAAAAGGCTTAGACATTTCAGAAGTTCTAATATTTAGATACAAAAAAGACAGAATAACGAGTACACCTGAAAGCAAATGGATGACCCCAAAAAAAAGGAAAAACTGACAGAATACACAGAAATTCAATGATATCTGTTCTCTAATACATGTACCAAAGTAAGCCAAAATGGAAAAACACAAATGAAAATAAAACATCACTGTAGTCTATACAACACTTTGCATTTTAGCTGAAAATAAATAGAAAATGAAGGACTGTCGTATCAAAATGAAATCAGCAGAGCAGTGAATGGCAGGAGCAGTGGACTCAAACATGATGGGAGATATTTTGCAGCATCAGTGCAGAGAACATGATTCACCCTCATACAAATTGTGCACATTTGTGATGTCATGTACGAACCCTTACTATTCCTCTCAGCAGGCAGAATTTGTATGCATATTTAGTGACCATGTTAACCACTTCAGAAGACCCCATGTGCAAGTGTAGCTCATGCTATGAACAGCTTTCTGGGTTAGTGAATGAAACTAAAGAAACTCTCTCTGTGACTGACACATCAGTTTCTTTTGCAATTTAAATTTGAACCATGCATTTCATAACTCAGCTCTCCTTGCATTGGGTAATGTGTAGTGCAGCTATGTGTACTGTTACTACCTCGGCTGTTTCATGAAGTTACACTTTGTTTAACCATGGGGGGTATGATGCTTTGAAGATACTGTGATCCTTCGGGTGCAGATGAGTGAAAGCACATAAAAAAGCAAGCAAATGCAAACTAACCTAGCCCACCTGCATGGCTAGTTTCACACTCCTCCAGATCTTCGTCATCACTCGAACACTCTGCAGATGACACAATCTCATCTCCCGGATGCTTCGTGGGCAGAATGTGGTCATCAGAGGTCACAGCCCCAGCAGAGATACCCAAAACACAAAGAGCCACCAGCAAATAACAAAGAAGACACAAAAAGACAAGGAAAGTACACGGAAGGAGTTAGAAGGTGAGCAAGGAAGGTCATTTTAACCTTGGAAACATTAGTTTGACAAAAAGATCTTCTGTGTCTCACAGTCTCCCTCTTGTTGTGTTTGCAGAGTTATCAAAGTATTGATTACATGACAATAGGTTGTCATATATTGGTGGAGATGGTAGAATGACTCTGGTTTGGACTAGTCTATGACAATGGATGTTGTCAGTGGTTTTGATCTGATGTTCAAAAACAGCTGATGTCTGCCAACTTTATTTGGTTAGTACATAACAGTCCTGATTGCTTTGTGATTTGTTTTACGTGTAACAGAATATTTTTACACTGTGCTCTAGTATATCATTTAATATTATTAAATTATAATGAAATCCTTGCAGACCGCGCAGTGACAGCCCGGTTAACAATCATGCTGGGAGCAGGGGGCTCCGTCGCTCTACGACTGGAGAGAAGGCGCAGCGACCACTGAGTTCACGGCCCCCAGGCGAGGGGTGCTGTAAAGCTGACAGCGCCGGAGCCGCCAGACACTTTCTCTTTCTGAGCCGAACTACAGCCTGTTGCTGAGTAACACTGTGGAGGAAATACGCACAGAGAGGAGCCAGCCAGTCCACCCGTTGAGAAGTGTACAAATATGTTCAGTTCATGTGGCGGGACGAAATAGACTTAGGCTGGCCGGCTGCAAAGGATTTCACTTACACAATAATGGGAAATTGTCAGGAACTCAACATACGCAGAGGTGAAAACGCAGGAAATCTTGTGCCAGTCCCAGACATGTTACTATGAAATCAAACCGTCTTACAAATACCCCATAAAACTCAATGTTAACTGGGACATAACATCTCACACAATAACATTTTAATACTATATTGATCCCTTTAAGGGGGAAATTTGTCTCTGCATTTGACCCATCCCTGTATATAGGGATGTATAGTGGGCTGCCAATGACAGGCGCCCGGGGGTTCAGTCACCCGGGGGCTCAGGTACACTTTGACACATCCCAGTCGAGGATCGAACCGTTGACCTTCCAGTTCCCAGACAACCCTCTTAACCCAGTGAGCCACAGTCACCCCTTTTCTTTAAAAAAAATTTTAAATTGACATCAACAGATTCCCAAGAGTTTTTTTCTCTCTGACAATAATAATATTATGGCTTTTTGACTGGGAAGCAGGGATTTGACAGTTAGTTTTGTACAAAATTCCCTGTTAGGAAATCTCGCTGGAAGACAACGAAGTGAGAGTTGGAGAGAGGAGTGTCAGGTAGAGTTTGTCGAGTTTGAGTACAGAAGGCGTAGCTTAAGGTTATCTAAAATATTTCCAATGTCATCGCTGAATATTTGACTGGTTTTGGCAAAAAGTGACCTCTCCCGAGATATGTAACGTTGTGTTTAACCGTGATACCTTCAATTAATGATGTTCAACCTCTTCATTCAGAATCCTGTGTAGGATTATTGCTGTTTCACTGATATAGTCATAGGTGATATATATATATATAGGGAATTTCTAACTGAGCTATTGGTATGTCTTCAAGCCTCCACTTGGTCTGTCAGTGGAAAGCTTTTAATGTGAAACAGCAGCAGTTCATTTTTGTATGAGCAAATAACAACTCCAGCACAGCTGCAATGAGTAAAGAGTAATTGGTCTGATATCTAGAAGTTCCATATGTGAGCCCTGTCTCTGTCGCTCCTGAGCCAATCACATGTCACTGAAGAGACCATAGAATCCAAATTATATTAACTGGTATATGATGAAATAACCAATGTCATTCCCATGTCACCATATGTCCCGGGCCCAAAACCAACTTTCCATTTTCACTGAATTCAGCACAGTTAGAAGGGAGACGCCATCAACAGGAGTTAGAGAATTAGATGGGTTGCATTCATTATTTGAAGCAGTTATTCCTTCAGTGGATAATATGAGTTTGTCATCTGTTCCTCATATAGTTATTATAGAAGTCTATCCTTACCTGTACAGTTGAGGAGGATCTGTGTTTCCGTGTGGTAGTGGTGGACATCATGGTGGTAGTCTCAATGAAGGTAGTGGACATCTCTGAAGACATGGCTGTGGTCCTGGCTGAGCCTGCTACACTGGGTACATCACCTACCAACCTCACACTGCCATTAATCTTGATGTTGGGGTTCCCCCCAGCAGCCATGTTCAACACTTTGAGGCCATTGTAATAAAGGCCAGACAGTTGACCCTGAAAGGGCCGGCCTTGATCACTACCGCCAATTGCGACTGTTGCTTGAGTGTTGAAAATTGTTAGCTGCCGTCCTAGAAGAGACATCCAGATGTAAGACATTTTCAACAGAGGAAAACACATTCTAATATTTCAGCAGCACTATTGATTTACAAAAAGACTAAGAGCATTATTTTTGTGGCTGCGGAACGACGAGAGAAGGCAGTACTTGGTCCTTTTAGATGCTCACAGACTATGCGCTGGTTGTTGCACTTGCACAATAACAATAGGACCCTCGGAGTCTCCAGCCATGCCAGTGGCTACAAATGTATTTTTGAAAACATTTCATAATACTGAGAGATTTATTCTAAACTCATTACTATAATGAATTCATTTTGTATTGCATATTGAATTATTTGACTAGTTATTGGTTATTTAGTTATGTATTTATTATTTTTAGCCCACAACAGGTTCCATATGTACATAGATGCATGCATGTGTTTACATTTATGTGCATGCTAGTGACACTCAGTTTGATGGTACTGTTAGAAATGGAAAGCAAGTCTGACAACTTCAAAGGAAAGTTTGTATGAATATCTTATGACCGGCATTAATGTGATATCATCAGGGTTGTATCATAGAAAACACTCAAATCTAGAGTTTAATAAGGCTGAAATAGAGTAAATGAGCATTCAGTTATTCTTCTCATTATAGTGCACCTTTTCACATACGCTTTTTCACATATCAGTATAGTGAACACACAGAAGCATAGAAACACTTTTGTTTGAATTTACCTTTCTCTTGCAGCCACTCTTCTACTGGTCTGGCGTATTTGAAAGGAATTTTCTTATTGGCCATTTGATAGCGTTCAATGTCACTGTTCCCTTTAAAGTTTAAAAGACATTTATAAAGACTTTTATTGATCATCACCATCATGTCACCGTGAGCAGATATCACTTTCCCTCTAACATTTACAATATGTTTAAATGATTTTATCTGACAATTACATTTTTATATTAAACTGGTTTATGTCACAGCATAACTAAATCTCCCTATTTGTTAACAAAAAAGATAAAAAATAATAGAACAATAACCATAATATTATTAAATACACGAAGCAGACAAAATGTCAATATTTCACCATTCCAAACATAACAACACATAGCTCTGCATCATGTCATAGCTTCATTCATTTCATTCAGACCCTTGGTTGACACAGCAACAAAGAGGCTCGGGCAACAAAAGTTAAACTTGGCAACTATTTGACTTTTCCACTTTCACTGCAATGCAACACGGTAGTTAATTTAGGATTTGGCAGTGTGTGTGTTCAGTCTCACGTTCTAAACAACAATATCGTCATATATTGACATATTGTACTTCCTTTTTGAGTTTAAATGTGCTCTTTACTAGTTAGAAATGTATATATCCTTTGTCCTTTATGTATGAAAGATTGAGACACAAATTATTAGATGTTTTGCATAGTCTTATCAAAAGCACATTTACAGAGTGTAGGATACCATAGTTGCATTTCTTCCCCCTATATTTCATTTATCGGCCCAAAAAGTGTTCCAGCTACGACTACTACGATAAAATGAAACTCTTGGAAACTGTTGTAGCTCTGGAACAGTTCACGATGACAAGTATATGAAGATGATACGAGATGAGCGTGCGGTCCACTTGAGGGTTTTTGGCTGGGACGACTGCAGTGTGTTTACCAAAGCGGCAGTATGATGGAAATATTACTTATCAAACCGTCCACATAGGATTTGATAGCAAAGTCTCAGTGAGCAGCTTATCTGTCTCCTCTGACTTCCAATCATCCACATACAGCGCTGAGCAGCAACCCCACAAAGGTTTAATATGACGTCAAGATGTGTCCGATAGTAGTAATTGTTTTTGTCCTGCTGTGTGTGTAGGGTGTTGCAGCCCCCCCCACCTGCAGTCTATATGCTCATATGGAATGTTGCTCGCACTCGCAGTTCTTTTTTCCTATCTATATGTATATCCTCATTGTATGTTCTCTCCCATTTCTCCTTCCTCCTCCCTTTCACTCTGCAAAAACAAATTAGCTACAGACCCAATTTATATCCATTTTCTTCTCTGACTGTCTTTAACATCACTTCCAAATTATTGTCCCACAATTCCTTATGTTCCTTGAACAAGGCCCCATGGAAATTGTGCAATCCTGAGTCCCATGTCAAGCCGACAAGGAAAGTTGGGACCTAGTTACTTCACCCACAAAATGTATATATTGCAGTTCCTGCTGGAGACCAACAGAGGTCCACAGAGTTCAGAGATTACCTAACAACTCCTCAAACAGTTCAAGCCTCTGAACATGGACAGGTTTTTTGTGTTGTTTTTCAAGCTCAATTGTATACTGCAACAGCAGATATACGTACATGTGCCAGCTCATTTAAAGCACTGTTTAAAAGCTGAGAAGCACTAGGTGCATACTAAGTGAGAACATAAGCAGTTGAACAGAGAACGTAATAATGTTGCTCTTCTGTAGATGCAACCCATTCACCTTCTCAACTGTTTCAAGACTTGATCCCATTGTCTTATCATCTATTGACACTAATTGTTATGTTTCTAGCAGTAGGTTTTCATTGCTAACTAATAGTGTCAGATTTGTTGTACATGTGCAGTGAAGAGGTTGTACAGTAAAGATACAGTAAAGATGTAAAATAAAGATGATTGACTGATTAGTTTTGTACCTGTTGGGAAGTGCTCATTGATGGCCCAGTTATCCACCTGCAGTGTAGCATTGCCACCATTCCTGGTGAAGCGAACAACATGATACTTCCCATCATTCACTGGGGTGCTGCCCTCCTGAACACCGATATCCACTGTGCCAATGTTGAATGTCACTCCAATTTTGCCTTGTTGCTGAAATGAGAAAACACGGTTAGTCATCTATACCACTCAAGGTGGTGGCTAGCACTGTCGCCTCACAGCAGGATGGCCCGGGATTCGATTCCCAGGTTCAATGGCCCATCTGTGTGATAGTCTTGTGACCTGGAGGGGGGCTCCAGCCCCCCATCCCCCAGCAACCCTGAATGCGGTTAAAAATAATGGATGGATCTTACATTAGCTAGCTCATTAATGAGATTTTGAAGGGCTTTAATTTTGAAATGCTACATCAGAATGTCCTGGTTCTCTCTGAGTAACACCTTGAGGTGGTCTGCTATTAACCTGTGGTGAAATTATTTTGTAACTATGCACCATTTCCTCTAAAATCTAATCTGAAATTAGACAAATTGTCAGCCAAACACACCTGGCTATCAATTTATGTGTTTATTTGCCGTGGTTGAAGAAGCTGCAGTGTGTTATGATTCCGTTATTGAACTAACACTGTGTGGAAATCTGGTGTTTTTACATCACATTATATCATGTTAGATCACAGTAAAGGCATTAAAAGATGAGTTTGGGGAGGCTCATCTGCTGCTGAGCTGGACTATAATGCAACTGTGAGGTGTATTGATAAAAAGGTATTTGTAAAAGTCCTCGTGGGGTTCAGGCCCCCTGAAAATGTTGTCCGGAAAATGGATTTATTGTTTGCTAAATATTGTGGAATTGTAATTTTTTTTTACCGGGTTAAACAGCAACGTATGGGCAACACTATCATATAAATCACTTTTTACACACTCCAAACACAACTATAGACTACTAATATAAGCATTTAGAAAATGTGCCATAAAAGGATGAATTTGTGGCCATAAATCACCATCATATTTAACTGCACATCGATTTTGGACTAGGAAGCTAATGGCTAACGAGCTAAGCAATGCATTTTGTAGCATTAGCATTCGACACAGAATGCATAAATACCTTCGGTTTTTCTCTCCGTGGAAGCAGTACAAACCGGGTGAGTGGACAAAGGTACCATGGCACCGGTCCTCGCCAAAAAAAATCTTGGTTTTTGCTCACGTTTTATGAAAAATTAGTAAAATAACGTCGAAGATTATCCGGTTCAAAGGTACCATCATTGTTGCCAACTGCATCCTGTTTACTGCCGAGCTGTTTCCAGTATAAGAGCGGTCAATCCAGCTTAGGCAAGCGGTCAGACTTCCGGCGAACGGAAATTTACGCTCGGGGAGACGCGGCACTTCTTGCAACGTTACTCTCTGAAATTATGTCAATCAAGACCCGCTTTGAAGCCAGCATTCCTGAGACTCTGACTCGTCGAATGCGGGCTCATTGACTGAAATCGACCAATGATAGGCTGAGCTACAGCCCCATACACACAGAGCAACTGAGAAAATCCTATGAATGACAGCCAGAAACATGCTCTGAGAGGACCCTTGCTGTCAAAATGATTTCTAACGGCTGTATTTGGATGTATTGAATAATATGAGTGATAAAAAAGTGAAATATATAGTTATATAGTATATAAAAGTACAATGTAAGAGCTGCAACAGCTGGTTCAAAAATGATGACCTCGCGTGACCTCTCTGTACTAAAGCCTCTTATTCTTCACTTTATCCCAGCCAACCTTTATTCAACAACTACTTGATCGGTTGTGCTATGATTTGGGAGAGTTTGGGGCAGCCAGCTACATTATTTCAAAAACATAATATCAATAAAAGTGCTTTTTTTCAGGCGAACCTGAATATTTTCAATTTGAGCTGTGTAATGTCTTCATTTACTATATTAACCAGCAACATATACACAATATTACCCATCTGAACAATCTCACAAGTGTTATAACTGATTATAGCATCAAAAATTATTAAAATAGACCTTGTAGTTACAGAACTGTGGTCTCCTTAGTATGGGTATGCCATTTTCGAGCAGAGGGCTAAAAATAGGCCTAGGAGCTAAAGAGGTTAAAACAATAAGCAGGATGTTCATAACTGCATATGAAGAGCTGTTTGGTGAGTCCCTTAAAAACAAATGTAATTTATTCATTTATTTATTTTTAGTAATGAATACTGCAACTTTCCCTTTCCAGTTGTGTAGAGAACTACGGTGGCCTTCAGGTCGGGATGGTTATCTTTAGGATTGTATTACTACTAGGAGCTACTCTTATCGATACACAAAATAATTTATTTTAAAAACATATATAATTCAAGTAAATTCAGAACAGGATCAGAATGCATTTATATTTTAAACATAATAAAATATTGTTTATATTGTTTATAAAGTCACTATACAAAGTCATTAATATCTCACTGGAAACAAAAATCAAAAACGCCAAAAAATGTAATCTATTATTATCATGAGCTATTTATTTAATTAATTATTATTATTCCTTAGTGAAGTTTATAAAGAATGAAGAACACAGACATCAGTCAGCAGCAGTGATTCCTCCTGTCCTCTGCTGGTAGAGGGAGGAGAGCTGCTTTGTCTCAGCCAGCAGAGAAGTTTACAAGAACAAACTAAGATACACAGTTAGACTACAGACAGGCGGTTTCTGCTTTAGTTTGTTTGTATGTTAACAATGTGCTATCAGTTCGATAGCGTTCTGTGTTCGTGTAAACATAGTGGTGGTGGATGAGAGACTGAGGAGCAGAGGGAAATAGGTTTCTCTTTTGTTGTTCACTTCAGTGTCTCCAGCACAGCCTCTGACTTTGCTCTGTGTGTGTGTGTACTTGTGTGTCTGGTTGTGTGTAAAGTTAGTTGCAAAGCTCAGCCCTGACAGAGAGATCAGAGGTCATGCTGCAGGGTTATAATAAATTACACCAATACAGTTAAAAGACCGTTAAGTATTTAGCCCGTTTCATATCGAGGTTCAGTACCCATCCAACATTAAAACGTGAAATGCTCTCTCTAGAGCCAGTGTTCAGTTTGTCCGTTCTGGGCTGCTGTAGAAACATGGTGGACTCTGTGAAGAGGAACCGCTCCCTATGATCAACAGATAGGGAGCTTGTGTAAAGTCTCAATGATTCTTAGCTTTAGGTCATTATACACCAATGAAAACATAGTTATAAATATCATATTCCATTTCTGCCAATAAACCGTACATGTTACAAATTGTTTCAGGCCTTTCACTGCACTAACTCTGAGAGTTTTTTGTCTTTTTTCATGTACTTCTCTTTTGCCACTTTGTTCTTCTTTAACTACTTCTCTCTGCTGCATTTCAGGATATGTGGTCGTGAAACTCCATCCTTTCAGTCCATTCTTTCTTCCTCTTCAGCCTAACATATTATCAATGCGTCAACTGATGCCCACAGCACACAGTAAAGGTACAGCAGTTCAAAAAATAACCAAAGGAAAGCTGACACTAGCAAACATAAAATGAGACAAGTAGTGTGTGTGTGTGTGTGTGTGTGTGAGAACTTACAATGTGCAGCATTAGATAGTCCCCCAGACCAGGTGCACTTTCAATCCTGACCAGGATGCCATCTTTCAGGGAGGTGCTGAAGCCGACGGTCAGCCTGTCCGTCCTGGTGCTCGGTCTCTCATTAGCTGGCCACTTGAATGTAATGAGGCCTCCTCCTTTGCCAAAGATGTACGTCGTCCCAGCTGAACAGAGCAGAAGGAGTAAAATCAATAAACAGCTCAACTCTGAACTACTGTCATGAACTGACGTCATGTGGTGGTAAGGTGCTGTAACAGGTACATAAAGTAAGTTAATACAAGAATAGCAGATATCATAACACTAAAGAGATGTGGAATATTATTATAATAATAATAATTTTACTATGTTGGTCTAGTCTATTCTACACATTTATTGGTCTGACGGTCCTCTGTTGCTCTTCCTGAGGTTTCTTCCATTATTTCCCCATTAAAAGGTTTTTTTTGCTGAATTTTTCCTTTTCTGAATTTTGGGTCGAATAGTGTGTTGCATGCTGAAATAGTTGTTAATTAAAGCCTTACCTCCATCATCTTAAGAAAAAGAAAAAAGTGATTTAAACAATGCACACACACTGTTGAATGCTTATACAATGCATTCAAGCTTTGACATTTGTGTAGCATTTTGAATCCATTGAGCATCAACGATTATGTCATTTAAATGGTAAATGCCTGAGCACTTGTACTTTTGCTCTGAACTCAGTAGATCTTCATCCTTTGTGTTAACATGCTCAAATGTATCTTGCTGTTGGGTAATGGAAATATATTCTTGTCATAGTTTATATTCTTATTAATAGAACTGTTTTGTAACTTGTTTTCCTGCAAACTATCATAAGTTTGCATCATGTAACTTGTGATCCATGCAGCTGACTGCCTGCACACATATCCTCTTCTTCTTTAGGATGGAAAACAAGTACTCATTGTATATTCACATGTTCTACGCCTCAAGGATAAAACGTATGCATCTGTGTGTCTGTTACACAGATAAAGCACTTCTTCTACTTCTTTAACTGCCACGGCCTGCACCACGACCTGAAACAGGATGTTCCAGTACACAGGCCCCCACCCATGATCACTCTCTTTATAACTCTGTACAAATGTTAATCTGGAGTGCACACGTCTACGGAGTCTGAGTGACTGTGTGTAACTGAGCCTCTTCTCTGGCCAGAGAATAAATACTTTTAAAAGACAAGTTCTGTTTGACAATTTTCTTCATTTCAGCTTAAAAAGACTCAACAGCGGGTAAAATCATTTTCCACCACACAGGTCATTTTCATTGTGACTTAGAACACAATGTGGAATGTCTAGTTAGTCTAACGTTCAGCTGGTTTTAATTTTTGAGTAGTTCAAGTAGTTGGCAGAACATCTTGGTTTTGATCAGTGAAACAGGTGCACACTGTGATATGACAATTCTGTATATCCATGAATTGCATGTTACCTTATCTTTATTATCACTTTCATCATCATCATTCTAAGAACTCACTGATGGAGCAAACACGGTGTTTAGTTGGTGGGATTTTGTCCACTCTCTGTCATACATGTGTGACATTAGATATTTAACAGTGAGATCAGTACTCACGGTCATTGCACTGTGTGCCAGTGTAGGAGGTCATGGAGCAGTCACAGGTGTAGTTCTCCCACTGCTGGATACAAATACCCATGTTGGCACAGGAGTCCTCCTGACAGGTGGTGCTGGGACCTGTAGAAATCCAGCAATCCCCGGAACCACAGACAGACAGACAGACAGACAGAGAGAGAGAGAGAGAGAGAGAGAGAGAGAGAGAGAGAGAGAGAGAGAGAGAGAGAGAGAGAGAGAGAACTTGGAGTAATACATAACCATAATCCGTACATGAGTGAAGTGAACCCAGAACCTACTTTAAAGGGACATTACTTTGGTTTAGAGCTCTGATAGCATGTATTTCATCCACACCCAGCCCCTCCTGACCGATTATCTAAAACACTTCACAATACAATTTTGGTTTTTCATCCACATGGATGAATGCGTTAAGGCTGCCGGTGTCTAATCAGCTTTGGTTTTATAAGATATCCGCCTGTTAAACCACTACAGTGCAAGAGAAGTGTATCTAAGTGGCAGCATTCAGACTTCTGCATAGGTCTTAACACAACATGTGTCTATTCAGTGTGGCATACTAAAATGTATGGACCAAATACGGCGTCTCCCTTGTCCTCTATTGGGCACTCCCCTCACCCTGATTGTCCTGAAGCCACATGACCCTATATCTAACCCATCTATGTGTGTGGGGGATTGGCTCTTCCAAACATGGAATTATGTAACATAGCATTTGAAATGAATAAGCTGGTATACGGCACTATAGGCAAATTATGAATGGGTAAAAATGGAGGGGATAGTTGCAGCACTTTTTGTGTTATCACAAAAACACACCAAAACAGAACAAAGAAATCTAATTTTACAAGACTCTCAGTGGGCATGGGCAAGGGCACACACGATTCTGGGGATTTCTCAATACAAACAAAATTGTAAATATATGTTATTTTACACCCCTGAAACTTTAAAACATGGGCTTAATGCAGGGCAGCCAGAAGGGTTTCCCAGAATCCCCACAATTATGTCTACTCATAGACAAATCGCTTGTGCCACCTTGCAGCTGGTGTTAAGTGTATTCTTTGTATTACTGTCTGTGAATCCTGATTTTTGTACCTATGTATAATGTTAATATGTTGGTATGTACTAAATGTTTGTTCCATAGATGTCCCCACAGTGTTACACATAAGGAGAAAATAGTGTTGGAACTATTCTTTCCCTCCAAACACCCAGACTGTTTTCCAGTCCAGAAAAGCGTCACCGACCATCAATCAGCTGGGCTCTAAGCTGTTAGTCCTTTTGTCTTTGGACCCTTGCAGTCTACTCAGTGGTTAGTATGTCCTTCTGATATTCTGTGATCCAGTTCCAATAGTGCTAACCCTGGTTGAACCATTGTAGTCTTGTATTGTAGTCTTGTGTTCTATGTGAACAAAACAAACCCTTCATACATCCAATTGTAAAGACTACGTTCTACAAACTAAAAGCATGAGTATTCTCAGACATCTGACTGTAACGAATCACTTTAGTAGCAGTCCAAATGGCAGTGTAAATGAGGGGTTGTCTTTTATATTTTCAAATTGATTTCTGCTCCATACCTACCCTGTTTAAATGCTATTAGTAATGTGTTTCATGATGACCCTGACCCCATATGAGCCAATACGAGTTGCATCTCTGCAGATTTTTTCCTTCTCCATGCACTTTGGAAGTAGGTGTAGATGTGTTGAGCATCTCTAGTCTGCCTCTACTATTGTGGTTATGTGAAATTTCTAAATATATCTGCTTTAATTTAGGTCCATAAATGGTCACAGCATGCCAACGGTCAGTCTGCATCAACTCATTTAACTCAGGTCAATGTGTTCAGTTGAGACTTACCTGGTAAACTGATGCAAGCTGCTCTGTTAAAGAGGATGTTCAGGACCAAGTGAATTGCTGATGAGTTGGAGGAGTAGATTGAACTTTGGAATTTACGGGGACAAGGTAGGAAAATCCTGCAGCTGATCCGCTGATCGGGCTCAGGATTTAATGTATGATGTAACCACAGTGAGAAGCTTATTCATGTTACTGCTAGTACTGTTCTGTTAAATGTTTGCCAGAGTGCAGTATCACCATCTAGTGACAGTAAGATATATAGCTGACTCAACTATCATTACTGGTCATCCTTTGATCAGGGCTCACTGGCTAAAGAAACACAAATCCATTTATGCGATGAAAGCTTGTAATGAAAAGCAGGCCGTGCATGGCGGTGTAGTCAAATGACCAATCAACTGATCATGATACATAAGCAAAAAAAAATAGAAAGAACAGAAATCACACAAGCACAAAAAAAAATGAGACAGAATGCCATGGAGAAGACCAACATTGTGATTGATGACATTTTATTTTGAAAAATAAATGTGTCAACCATTACTTTCTTGCAGTGCATACAGTACAGTAAAAAGCATTGTTTTCTAAAAGCCCATTCAGACTGTCACAGCGAGGAGGACATACAGTACACAATGTTATCGTCTGTTTTGATTTAAATGAAACATAAACTAACACATGTATTTGTCTAACATGGAGTTCTGTAAATTAATGTGAAAAAAAAACAGAGTACACTCAATGTCCAACTGAATGATATGGCAAGAGTAAACATCTGTACAGAAAATGATTTCCATGCAACAGGTTGTGGACGCCCAGAACTGTAAGACCATGACAAAAAACAACTACAAAAGAATGACGACTTGCACAGGAAGATGGAAACATTTTGTCCACAGTGACATCTACTTGCTCTTGCAAAATGTTTCAACAGCCCCTTTTGATGTAGCTACAATATGCATGAACTATTGGAAATCAACACAAAACAAATTAAACCATTAGGCAAGTTTTGCTTTGTGAAAAAAGGACATGGACTGAGTCTGGGTATGGCCTGATGAAGATTTCCAAAGCTGCTGTGATTTTACGGCTTGCTCTAAACCTGCACATCCATAGACTTTTTATGACGCAACCATTTTTATTTTGTATTTACATTGTTAGTTTGTTCTACTTCCCTGTAATTGACCATTTGCTAAGCCCCTCCCCCAAACAGTGAAGCCCAAAAGTTAAGGCTTTAGTTAAGACGTTTCCGTCTTGTGTCTGACAGAAAAGTTACGCTTCTAACTATAAAGCAATGAGTCTCTGTCTGTGTGGGCGTATCCTCTGCATGTCTCCAGAACCGTTCATGAACGGTTCTTTGTTTGAGGAATTACATCAGTACCATTGTTATCATGCAGCTAATCAATTAGATATGCAATAGAATTCATTCAAATGTTTTCTTAATTTTTTAGAAATTTTGCACTGAATGTATCTCTCTACAATCAAATGCACACGGCTTTGTATCTCCACCCCTGAACCAGCCACTCGTAAGGACCTCTGTATTACCTTCTCTCTACGATGATATTGCATTAGACTCTAAACATTCACAAAATTCCAAACAAAAATGAAACTTTACAAAAGCAAAAGAGATAAAAATGGAGAATTCTGGCAGTATTGTATGTCACTGCACTGGCAAAAACTGCTCTGATGGTGATCGCAATGACACTGTCAGGGGGCGACCAATGTGGCCGATAACAGGTGGCAGTGTCGTGGGATTGTTTAATGTTTGGCCTGACTAGCAGTGGGTGAGTGAGGCTACAAGTACGGTTATTAGAATGGAGGGGATTCTGTATGAATGCAGGGCTGTTGAGCTACTGTTTGCATTGAGCAGGAAGAAAGGGCTGCCGGAGCTGGAGTTGGAGTTGAACTTTGTGTTGTAGAAGTCTAATTCAGGCTCAGATTTGAGGGACGGTGTACCTTCGCATCCACGCTCTATCTGCCCGCTGCGAAACAAGGCATCACTGAGGAGATCCGGCAGGCGACCGTTAAGGTCCACCGATGCCAAACAGCCCTGGTAGCCTTCTCTGGAAGCCACCAGTTTAGGCAGGCTGCCATACATGCCTGGACCCAGTCCTGCGATGAAGAGATCACCTGTGGTGTAGATAAGATAGGGACACTGTAGGAGGATTTTATCTCATATGTCTATGTTATAAATCTTGTCTTTAAATATCAGCTTTTTGTTTTTTACAGATATCTGCCATCTTCATTTGTCAGGGTAGAGTATACTTTTACCAAGTATATAGTAAATGTACAAAGTTATAATACACAACTGCAAAGCACAACAATTTTTGGGGTGTCATGGGGTCGGAGGTTACACTGTAAAATGCAGCGGAATGTAATCATGTGACAGTTTGGCAATCCAACGGCCCAAAGCCAGTGTTAAATTGCTACCAGTTTCTAATTCGTCAGAACCAAAACACATAAGCTTCTAGGCAGCCTGTCCATGGCTGTTCACTTTAGAAAGCAACACAGCCAGCATCAGAGCTTGTGCTTTATTTTCTTTCTCCCTCATTGATCCAATTTGCTGATGGCTATTTCCTCTCTGAAAAGATGGATATCTGGCTCCACCTGATGCATAGAATGAGCTCTCAATACTACTTACCATACCTTACGTCCAACATTTTGAAACTATTCCTTTAATGGTATGACAGAAAAACATTTTCCACGGTAAATATTATTGTAAGAAAAATGACCTTTACCCTGTTGAAGCACAAAATAAATGATGTGGGTCACATGTCGAAGAATGGATCCATTTGAATGCACAGTGACAGTTTTTTAGTAGTTCAACGACATGCTGGACACACAAGAAGATGCACACATGTAACATGTGTCAGTCATGTCATTTGCATACCTTTCAGGTCCAGATTCTTGGCCCCATTGATACTCTGACTAGTGGCCGAAGCATCTACTTTCAGTGTGTGGGTGTTGCTGTTGTCTCGGGTGATGGCCACATTGTGCCACTGGTTGTCATTCAATGCCCTGTCACTTTTGCCCTTGATGAGGTTGGGCCCATTTCCAAGGTCAAAAACATAGTGGATGTATCTGCAGGAGGAAAGTTATAAGAGTTACAAATCGCTTCAGAAATCTTCAGCCTTCTGCTTTTAAAGCTTTTCTTTGAAATGCTCACAAACTGGCAGCCCTCAACCAAAAGGTGGGCAATTTTTGAAGAGTGTAATTGTTACAGGTACAGCAGGTCATCCACTAATTTGAGGGACGGGGGTTCTATCCCCAGCTCCTCCATTCTGCATGTTGAAATGTCTTTGGGCTAAACACTGAACCCACAGATTGCTCCCAAAGGCTGAGCCGTCATTGTGAGTGTCTGTGAATAAGCATGGACCTCAACAATGAGGTTCCTGAGGTAAAAATCCCATTCATAGTTTCAATTGACCAACATGGCGGCTCGTTTGGATACTTTCTCTAATATCACAAAAAAACTTCACCAAGATATGTTTCTGAAAATGTTTGAGGTGAGAAGACATGTAGTTAGTTATTACACTGTGTGTGTGTGTGTACAAGACCTAGTAATAGAGAAACTCAATAACTTCAATCTGCAATAACTGCTATGAGCCACTTGAGAGCAGCAGAAACAATCCCCTTTCATGTTAGCATATGGTTGCTTAATCACACATCCAGCTGTTACAGAGCAACATGGTCATTCATTTGGTGTTCGTGTCCACCTGATGAATAAATGTCCATTATTCACGCTGGTGTGAGCTCTGCTTTTGGTTGCTAACTGTGTCTGTCAACTGTTGACGTACTGCTGAGTAAGTGGTGTAAAGTAGGTTTTTAGAGTGTTTTCATTGAAAAAAGATGGCAGGCATGATGCAATGAGAGACGTGTAAAGTAGCAGACGCTCAAACACAGAGGAATGTCACTATAAAGCTCTGTAAAGCTGCCAGTAGCTGCAGATTCAGCTGAGAATCCTCTGTAGGTTCATCGCTATGAGCGACTTCTTTACATTGTCATTTCATACATTGTTATTATGAAAGTATTTACGATAGCAGCTTTAAGTTGGTAATCACATAAGGCTACTCCTAAACCTTCAAGGTTCCAATGTGTAAAAGGTTAACAAGCATCCTTTCAAAATAAGACTTACCCTTTTACCAGTTCTACAGCGATAAAATCGTTGCCGTCTCCAGAGTTGAAGATTATGAAGCCGTCTGGGGAGGTTGTCTTGAACTGGAAGAAGAGGTGCATGGATGTGTAGGCCTGTAGGGTGGCCAGGCTCAGATAGCTGCTCTTGGATTTGAAGGTGACAGGGTCGGCGATGATAGAACGAATCCCAAAGCGTGCATTGAGCTCGCAATAATCAATGTCACCATTCTTGCACAGGTCGATGTAGAGCATGCCGTTAAACCTGAGGAAAGGACAGGAACAGACACTTGACATGATTGACTTCAAAATAAGATTCTTCTTGTTCTTCAAAGCCTGCTAAACAATTGTTGGTCAAGGATAATTAAAAGTAAAGAAAACTAAGTTTAGGGTATGAGAGACCCGTAGCTAAATAAAGCTCCAGTTTGTTTCTTGAAAAAAATAAAGCCATTTGGGGGTAGCAGAACTCCACAACAAGCTGGCAAACAAACTGCCTGACAAATCTTATATCTTACAAAGTAATACAGTATATTTAAATATTTGAATTTACAAATGGCATTCATTTTGTCCTGTGTCTTATTATCACCCTCGGACAAACGCAAGTCTCACATTAACTAAGCAATTTGATTTGGACTCCACCAAGTCCTGTGAAAAATATCTGGCTCTTTAGTTACTCAGTGTTCTTCACCAGCTGCTCTCTAAATGTTCCTTATGTACAGTTGCAGAATGCTGAGACTGGAGCAAACAGTAAAACCATAATAATTACCTAAAAAAGGGAAAAATATTCTGTAGAGCTATCATTTTGGGTGGCAACCCTCTGTTATTAGTAAAACATTAAATATATACTAGTATACATTTAAAAAGGTAAAGTAAAAGTAGGTTATCGGAGTACCTAAGGCTCTGCAGATGACCAATGAAGCTGGATGGGATGCTGGAAACAAATCGACGCTCTGTCATGGTGCCCGTTTCAATGTTGTGGAACTCCAGGCGAGTGTGGTCGCCCACCATTTGGCCTGAAGACGGGGAGGGTGGAGGGGATGGGTTGAAAAGAAAGACAAAAACGAAAAGAAAAGAGAACACTGTCTGACACTAACACAAAAGGGCTGATTTAAGGAGAAAATTACATTAACAGTATTAGATGGATGCAAAGTGCCATCAAAGATTACAGATCTACATGCTTTCTTTGTAGCGGGATTACATACTGATTTTCTCAGCCTCTATGGCAACACACCTCAACATGGTGTAATACCACTGAAAAGGCAACATTAAGAGCATTCCTTCAAGCATGAACCGAGTTGATGCAGGTAAGTACCTTCTGCTACATCATCGTCAACAGTTAGCTTGTAGGTTTTGCCGCGTCGCACCACTCTCACTGTATGCCATTCATTATCATTGAGCTTTTGCCCGGCATACAGGTTCTCCGGTCCCTTGCCTGAGAACAATGGTCAATCACAAAGTTAAAGACATCCTGAGGCTCAAACCAAACCGTTGTTTTCCCAACTGTCAGCCTTGAATCATTGGCAGAATTCTACAAGCAGCTTAGCTTAGCTTGAAAAATGGCTTTAAATATAGGTCAAAGTAGCTCGTATGCTTTAGGGAAACAAAGGTTTGGTTCAGTCAGTGAAATACACAGAGAAAAAACACACAAAGTACTTGACATTTATAATTCTTATCAAATACACCTCACCACTATACTGCAGAAAAGAAAAGAGGCTTGACTCTCAAATAGAAAGGGCAAATACAGTCGGACAAATTGCTTTTACTCATCATAGGCTTCCAGAAATTCTTTCCCTTCTCTTATTTCCTTCCTTGCGTCCTTTCATTTCTCTCTTCATTGCATCGTCTGACTATGAAATCCAAACCAAAACCACCAAAGTATCCTCAGCCACATCAGTCACCAGTCCAATATAAAATGTCATTCTTGCCTATCTCATCTTTTTGATCCATGACTTGATGAAATACATCTATACCAACATCTATACCAACAGAAAATACATGTGGACGCTAGTGTATACGATGCCAATACTCAAAGGGATGCTTAAAGAACTCTTAGGTGTGATACCAACAAGTCCTCCAAACTAAACAACAAAATATGTAGTTTTTTAGTTCCCTAACACCTGCAAGCACAAATGAGATCCACGTGCGTGAAACTCAAACAGCCGCAGACGCATATTACTTTTGAGAGTGCTTTCACATCACTGCATGCAGAATATCGCATGAAAAACATGCTTTGAGCGAGAGGAGTGTCCCCTTGCAGAACTGCTCTTTTGCTGGCAAAACATTCACCTGCTCGCTTGCGAGTGTTTTTTCTTTTTGACAGTAAGTGGGCGGACCCAATCACCATTGTATCACTAAATTTAAATTGGTTACAATCCTCGTCTTTGGATTGGCCGGATATCACTCCCGACCATAGACTGTACATAAGAAGTGGACGTGGTCATCGTGACGTCACCCATTGCTTTGTGTTATGAAGCCTCCAGTTTGACGATTTCGCCGGCGCCATCTTGAATTACGGCCATCGCCATGTTGTTTTTTCTCACCACTGTCGCCCCAGTGGTTGCTTATGGGTGGAATGTTGGGTCTCTGTAAATGATCACACGGTCTATACTTGCTTGTTATGAAAAGTGTCTCAAGACAACTTCTTTTATGATCTGATGCTATATAAAGAAATTGAATCAAATTAAATTAACCTAATCTTATCTTACCCCCAAGTTTAAACCTACAAGAGATGTCATGCCTAATTGTAACTTCAAACAGAGATGATTTTTGTGATCATATATTTACGGACGGAGATACACCTTAGTTGTTGCTCCTCGTACTGCTGGCACAGCTGCAACAGCGACAGACATTAAGACTAGATTTTCAAATGACTTTTACCTCAATTCTCAAACTGACCAACCTAATGTTATACTGGAAAGAAAAATGAAGGCCTGCACCAAGGATAGATCTATAAAGTGTTAACCCAAAGAGCAAAGATTCACTCAGATCATACTACAACTTGACTCACTCACATTCACACACATAACTCAACTCATACACTCACTCATCGATTGTAAACCGAACAGCTAATAATAAGGTGAAATCTCAATGGCCTCATTATGAGTAAAAGCAATCTGTATCATAACTATAAAGAACTTTACGTTGTAAAAGCAGCAGACACACTTGTAGAGAATCACCATTCCTAAACTTTGATTGGGTAGAATGTAACCTGACAGAATAATACAATGGATTGAACCACATTTTCCGAACAATACAAAACTTTCCTGCATGTTCTGTGTAATTTGGGAATTCAGTTTTGATATTCAGTTCATAATCTTTAGCAACTGTTTAAGTATAGTAATATATATCGTTTCTCTCTGTTGGAACTATGAGGACTATTGTTGGTAAAGTTTATGTTACAACAAAGTTTTACAGCTGGAATAAAAATATCTTTTATCAATTACACACTGTGCACTGGACTCCATGTACAGTATGCTAATTTAATTAAAGAAAAACATTCCCCTAAGCCATGTTAAGACTGTATGTTGCCTTTTCTTCTGAATGTGTCAGCTGTCGCAAATAACTGCACTTACATTGACTATGTTTACATGCACCAAATACTTTTGCCCTTATTGTGAAAAAGACAATATATATTTCACTTATGTTCTCATACATATTCCGTTTAACGTAAAACGACCCCATGACGCATCCTCATCACCATGGTAGGGAATCCCGCGTCAACGCCATTCTCGGCTGTGTTTGATGGGTCAATGCCCAAACCTGTCGTTTATCACGTCATAATATGAAAAAATGAAAAGGCAGGAGCCGCTTGTGCCATTTTGTTTCTTTGCGTCAGAATCGTTTTTTTCAAAGTTTTCCTCTGGTGGAGGACTAGTCAGACCTTGTGAACACAGCCTCCCTCTTTCATTCCTTCAACCACCTTCTTGAAAAGGTCGGCTTTACGATATTTGCGCTGGTCCCAAAAAGTCCTTCATCATGCTTAAAAGTAGGTGTGTTTCTCCTTCAGACCAGAAATGTGGGATTCTCCTTTGGACATGCATCTCCACTCCAGCATTGCAGACTAATGGCTAGTAGTTGGTTTGTGTTTAACACACAGAGCTGATGATAAACAGGAAAGAGGCCGTGTGTCGCACAGAGCTGTAAAAACCTCTATTGAGACGCATATTCTGACTGCGCTGTATACATGCTCCTAAAACCTGAATAATATCACACACGTCTTAATCGGAAAACGCTCCATTCGGAATAACGCCTAATTCCGAATATACAAACTGAATATGGTGTTTACATGAACCATATACAATTCTCAATATTGTCCTATTCAGAATAACAGTGGAAAATGAGTGTGCATGTAAACGTAGTCATTGTGGTCGATGTTATAGTCTAATGAAATGTGGCTTCTCATTTGAAGTGGGTTCTTGAAGCACTAAGCAAGTACTGTTGCATGCACTATAATGAAATGTACCCGTTATTGTAATTAACATCACTGGATGGAAGTAACTATGTTGTTTTGGTGTTAGAAAAAGGGGGTTCCGCAGCATTGAAGATGGGGTCAGTGTTAAGGTTATTTGGCCTGTGGGAGGTGCACCAAATAGGCAGACAGTGTTGAAAAGCTTCATCTACAGTATTACAATTATTAATGGACCATCCAAATTAAGTGTGTCAGTTACTGGGACCAATGTGTTTCAGGACAGTCAAGATATTTGGTAAGAGGACCTAAGTAGTACTTAGCTACAACTAAAACCTGCCTCTCAGATTGTAATCACATAATGTCATCACTTACAATAAAAAGTGATGACAAGGAATTTCCTACACTTACCTAAAAGTTGTGAAGTGAAGTACAACACACGTGTATATTGTTACTACTGTGTACAGGGCAACGTGGTGTGAGAATACAACTGTAAACCTATAGAGTAAAGTAGTTTAGATCTGTCTAATAATTCAAATGAATCACCACTCATTCCATTTGTCTGAGGCTATTTCTTTTGGTTCCTGTTGAATTATGGGTAGTCTAACCATCATCCTCCACACGATAGGCTTAAAAGAAAGTGGAGGGCAGTGCAGGACTCACATTGTAAAAACACATTTCCTTAAAAAAAAAAAATACATCAACATACCATCAACATTAACAGCAAAATGAAACTTGAGTGTTAACTTACTGGTGTTACAGTTTATCCTGATACAGTCTAGATGGGGAAGAATAAATGACAGATGAAATTGCATCCTTCAAGGTTACTGCTGCAGACATCCAAAAACAAAAAGTCCACCCTTCCGGGGACGTACACATGCAGGAAGGCAGCCATTTTATTCATTTAGTATTTAGTCAACTTTATGCTAAATTACCATGAAATAAATGATATACTTTAAATATTTCCAAAAACATCATTTAATAGTAAATAAGATAATGCATGGATTTGTCAAAGAAATGTGCTGGTTGTAAAAGCTGCTTTTCTAGAGCTTGGGCTCTTTTGTTACCCATAGTACCAGAGTTGAAATTTATTAATTGTTTCGGCAAAGTATTTACAGTAAAATGGCCACTTGTAGTACCAGCCACATGAGTTTTCCAACCCAACACTGACTGTTCCTCCTTAGGTTTGAATATTAAGAATAGAAAAGTCAAAGCCTCTGGCTCCAAAGCCTCCGCACCAGCAAGGTGGTAGCAGCCATCTGACTTAGAGCCACGAAGTCACCTTTGAGAAGTCACGAAATACAGACTGAGAATTTGTTCATTTGATATGCTATTAAAACAGCAAAAAGGTTGATTTTGTAAGTCAATGGTGTGATAGACAGTGAAAATCTAAAGTATCTGAACAGAGGCCACAATAACTGCTGTATGCAGTTGTGAAGACAGTGAGGGTTGGTCACCATGTGGCTGGTGGTTTCATGTGTCGTCAACCGCAACAGAAAAGTGGGAGCAAACAGCCACGATCCAATCAGCACCAGCACCATGCAGAGGCACAGGAACCCCAACCATCAGATCCGGAGTGCTACACTATGCCTACATGTGTTACATCAGAGGCTAGACCTTTACAATCGTTTTTACAAACGTTCTGTAGGAAATCACACAGATTAACATAGGCTAAGCAATCATCTCTGACCAATTAGAGCTGCACAACATAAACATGTTGACTAAAATCTGGGGTGTGACTTACATGACATACATTCATATAATTAGTGAATGAGTTATGTAAATGTGGCTTGGCAAACCAGCTGATGTCTGTTAATATTGCCATTACTCTTACGTGACATGTCGTATGTTATATGCAACATATAAATTGATTAGTGTGACTTAGAATTCTCATACTTCTTTACAAAGTATGATTGGAAGTATTTGGGGTCGCAGCCAGCTGTAGGTTTAGCTGGGCTCTGTTCTCGGGCTGTTCGCCTGACGGGCCGCAGGCTTAAGGCCTTTGAAGGGGTGAATACCATCTTTTGACAAAGCATGATGGAAAATGGAGTTGACAGGGAAACATAAAAACAAAAACACAGAAAAAGCATTGACTTCCAGAAAAGACATCATTAGCAAAGAAAACAACCACCCAGGAGAAGAGGAAGGTGAGAGAGAAATGACTCGATGTCAGACAGAAAATGAGAGAAAATTAGTGAGAAAGACAAAATCGTTTTTTTCTAATATCCTGTTGAATGATGGACTGAAGATCAGTGGGCATACTTGGTGAAAGTCACCTCTTAGAAAGTCTGAGTACACTCTGTTCCTTTAAAATATTTACTTGAACCCAGTCTTTAAGCACATTATCTCTACTTTACTCTTATTGTGCTGTGACTGTCTCACAAGTTCTGCAAACAAGAATACAGGTATGACTTTGGTTTGTCTGTTTCAAAGAGGGGCCAAACATGTTTACCACTGAAATGAAATAAGTTCTGATGTGGAGCCTAAGATGTTATCCTGTAAAGAGTGGTTTTCAGTAAGCAGTCCATAGTTATGTGTGTGTAAAAACTGCATGAACACCCATGCAAAAAAAATCTCTTATCAATGTTCTAAAGCTGGGGAACCATAGTGATGAGTAACTGATGGAAAAACAAAAGTTGTGCATAAAGACATCGAAGTGAAAGGAGAGGTCACCGCTCAACAGTGAACTGTCTCAGGGTGAAGGTGGAGGTGTGTGGAGGCAGATGGGTGGGGGTGGGGGTGGGCATACGATACCTAGGTTGACCGTGAGTTTGACGCGACCGCCGTCCAACTCCAGCCTGAGCGTGTCGGCTGATTCTCGAGATGTGGTGGCCATGAGGAGGCCATAGGCCCGCTGGGAGCGAAAACGCAGGGAGACGTCCTCGGCCTCAGTGTGCATGATGTTGGGCATCACCACCTTCATATACATGCTGCCATCATAGGAGAGGATGGAAGCCTCTGTGTGAGACAGTCAGGAGCATAGACAGATGTTAGCAATAGCAGCAGCTGGGACCTGACACTGTGGAAATGCTCGCGGCTCTAGGGCTGCCAATGTTAGTCAGACGATCCAGACCATGGCTGGATTAAACTGCTGGGGGGCTCCCTGCTCTGTTTTCCCTTCTTATAGATGAATATTAGATAGGAGAGATGGGTACGGTGGAATATGGAGAGTGGGAAACAGACAAGTTCTCGGAGACTGAGCTGCTGAGTTGGCTGACACGTTCACAAATATCTTCAATCCATCCACAGTACATTGTCTCCACATGCCAAAAAAACATATACAATAGTGCAAGTCCTGAAGCAGACAGCAATAACCTGGCTCAACGACTACAGGTCCGTCGCATTAACACCAATAATCATGAAGTGCCTGGAAAGACTTGTCCTTCGGCACATCATGGCTGCTCTCCCACCCACCCTGGATCCACAGACCCATCATCGACTTCAGGAGGAAGCAGAGTGACCATCCCCCACTGCACATAAAGAGGGGATAGAGTCTACAGTTGTAGTTTCCTGGGCACCCACATTTAAGATCTCACATGGTCAACCAGCATAAACTCTCTGGTTGAAAAGGCACAGCTTCCTAAGAACACTCAGGAGAATCAAACTACCACAATATGTTTATGAGAAGTACATGTTCATTGTAGTTCAAATTGGGGGTACTGTGTTATTTATCACCAGCTACATTGTTAGGCCAGTGGATCACCAGTAGGTGTCAGTGTTGCTACATGAGCAGTGTCTGTGAAGGTACAGTCACAGGGAAGTCTCGCGTGAATATGCGAGATTATGACAATCTCTGTGTATAAAATGGAAGCAGAAAATGCTGTGTAGCAACTGTATACCTAAAGGCATGTTTGTGTAGTTTGCAGAACACTTTCACTAAATGTGTAGCACCAGATTTAGCCTGTGTGACATCATTCTGTGCACCGCTACAACAATATAATGGCTGACAAGAAGGCTCTGCAAATGTGCAAATACACATTTCAAAAGGTAAAATAATCGATGAATTGACTTTGCCTTTAGAATGCATTCATAAAAATAAAGAATATCATTATATTTGCCAGTCGACAATTATCTTACTGTTTACATATATTGTTGGGCATACAATGACCCTACGATGAAATAGACAAGATCGTCCATAAAACTCAGTCACAAAATAGAAAAATCAACACAAAAACGAAAACACAACATTTTAGAAAACACAATGGCAAAACGGTAAATGCAAGAAAAACAAACAAAAAAAACCTTAAAATCTAAAACATTACAACACTTCACAAAACAGAAAAGGACGTTATATCCATGGCTAATCAGCGCATCATGGGAGTTTACTTATATATAGTATCGCTGATCTTGATTTAACTATAAATTGACTTAAGTTCTCTAACTAAACTTAGCACGAAGACTGGAAACAAGGGGAAACAACTAGCCTGGCTGAATCCAAAAATGACAACATCCATCTACCAGCACCTCTAAAGCTCACAGATTAACACTTTAATCCATACAAAACAAATAGACTTTAAGAACTTTTAATGCTATATTTAAATGCGTATTAAACAATTTTAGCTGAAATAGCTTTTTAAAATGAATGAATCAATCAAACAGTGCAGCATGATAGCACTAGTAAACCACAACAATTGACCCTTCACTAAGTCCCGCCCCTCGAACACTGACTGGCCAATTATAGCGTATAGCATCGGCCTATTCCAATTGGGATCCCTCAGCTGTGTAATTATGATCCCACTGCTTTTCTTGGTAAGACACGTCCTTACACTTTAGCTTCTATCTTTGTCATGTATCAAATATCCGTCGAACACATGTTGTTGACCCTTCTGTAAATCGCTTTTTCATTTTTCCAAAAATGTGACAACATTTAGTGTGGGCTCCATGGTAGCTTTGACAGCTTGACGAGTAGCAGCGGGGGTGAGGGCAAGAAAAGGGTCAATTATGCTACAACTATCACTATAGAGTACTTTAATCATACAGAAGCAAAGTACACACATAGCAATGCATGTACTCTCCTGCAGCTCACATTTTAAAATGTGTTCCCAGGACTCTTTCGGGATTCTTTCTTACAGTTAGGGCTTACTAAGGATTGAAGATATTTTTTCTAGCATATGCTCAGCCTCATGACGTGCACCAAAATGCCTCAGCAACCGAGGATGCACTCTTCTCAATCCCTAGTGGGTGTGTGGCCATTGCAAATCTTAATCTTCCAGACACTGTTACTTTATATTTATATCAGAGCATTGACAGTGGGGAGGAGGGGCAGGGAGAGACCGGAGAGACGGATATACGGAGGTAGAGGAGAGCACGGGCAAAACAAAAAGCGGAAAAACAGAAAATAAAAGAACTAAATGATCGTTGAGTTGCAGGAGGAAGAGACAGAGGCACTGTGTGGTTCTGGTCAATGACAGAAGTAATGAGAAAAAGAAACAACTAATTTCTCAACCGCAGGGAAGCTTTGATGGATGGCGATGTGAGGAAGGTCTAGACCAGGGGTCACTAATAGACGCCGTTGTATCTGGAAATAGACCTTCAACCTATAGATAATTGAGAATTATTACATTTTGACAGAAGGCTTCTATTTTAACCGGTGCAGCTTTTCCAGCCTTTACGGTACTTGTTCAGCGGTCCAGGAAACACCGACCAATTACATGCGTTGTAAATCATATCACGTGATGCTACTCAGCCAATCAAATATGTGTATTCTGATAATTATCACCCTCGACTCGAGTGAGATAAACACGCACACACACGGCAGAGACGGGAGAGAGAGACCCAACAGTCGGAGAGAACGTGAGTGCTTGTGCCTCAGTATCAGACATCGAGGGGAGAGACAAAGCGGCTGTATTTGACAACCTGAACAGGCTGCACATCCTACACACTTTTATTGGCTCGGGGTTAAAAAGAATATACTGGTAAACGGGTTTTTAGTGCACAGTTTTATGTCAAAAACATATTAGTTCTTACTTTTACAAAATAATTAATGCTGGCTGTTACTTCACATAAAACGGTTATTTTAGAATATTGTTTATTACCAAGTCATGGTAATGGCAGAATGGTCTCACATAATGACTAACTCCAACATAACAAAAAGGATGTGGCACAAAGGCAGCGGTGCGATAGATACCCAGATGTGCGATGCAGCCATGCATTTGCTATGCAACCGCAAAGTAACGCATGTAATGCATGCAAGCAACATTAACTGACATAGTTAAGAGAGCAAAAGGGAGGTGAACTGGTCAAACAAACACAGGATCTTCATTCAGGAGGCTGCTGTTCACTTCCCATGTGTAACTAAAAGTAACACTTGACATTTTGTCACGTCAGTCATTAGTCACGTGACTCACGTGCAGTAGTCTCATATGTAGTGAAGATAACGTCGACCTAACTTCCTCTAAATAGTGAAGACATTACATCACTGACACAATATAGAAGGGAACGTAGAGCGTCATAGTTTGAAGCTGATGCAACTGACCGAGCTGCGTTATTTGACGCATTGGTGTGAGAATGTGTTGGGATATGCCAACACAGAAATTATGTTAATAACAGAAATGATATGTTAATAACTTCTGTGTGTTTGGAATATGTAATGCATATTTCTCCATTTAAATTCAGGGTATTGTGATATACCAGTTTTAAAGATAATTGTGATTTAAACAATGAAATATTTAAATGTTGAGAACACACATAATTTAATATGGGCTGGCAGCATATTGTGGAGAAGCATAACGTAACAAACAACATAATGACGTATGCATAATATGGATCTTATTTGCACAACATAATATTTTCTCTTTCATTACTTAATGCACCCTAAAACGTTTTTAATGAGGATAAGGTGACAACATTGATGTTGAGTGTTCACTTGTGTGTTCACATGCTGTACATGTCAACTGCACATTAAATAAGGGACTGTGATTGGTCACACAGATGCCTAGGACTGATGTCTAATTGACAAGGTGTCAGATTACCTCATGGCGTAACATACACAATTTAACTTCTCATTAAAGCTGTGGACTGGGCTGTCAGATTAATTCTGACATGTAATATTTCTTGGCTGTATCTGCGTGTGTTAGTGTGTATGTATGTGTGTAGTGACCTTACATGTGAGATGGTCTCAATAGAGTGTGTCCAAAGGATTTATACACTTTTGACTGACTGACCTTGCCACATTCAAACCACCGAGAAGAAGAAGTTAATGCATTTTGTTTGGTTTCTAGGAAGACACTGCCTCTCTGACCCATTCATATGTCTTGTATTAGTTGCATTCAGCTCAGTGAAGTAGCAGAAAGATGTTGTCATTGAACAGTAATACTCTGCCATCATTGGAGACATCTAATCACTACTGCTGCTGGGAGGAGGAAAGCGACAGTAAATTCTCGAAAAGGGTCTATTAACCTCAGCCGTAGTGAGAATCAGGCCTGTATTTGAAACAGGCTTATATTAGAGACAGGCCTTCATTCTAACACACTGTCTTGCCGATCTGCTCCAGTTTAAATATGTTGTAAAGACAAACCCAAGATCCAGATAACATCAACTTTATTGATACCTCAAAGAAACTGTTGCTTGTTGCCCAAAATATGTTGTTGTAGTACTAAATCATTGGAATCATGACACCTATGGCCTTAATAAATATAAATGTATGCTCTATAGTTCCATGAGTTATAGTTATCATAAGAGTACTTAACTGAGCCAAAGGTGTGTCTACATCATTTATACGCTGACTCTTCTCTCTTCAATAACTCTACTGTAATTAGACCAGCTGGTGGCTCGGCTCATGCCAAGCGTTAGAGGAGATATGTAAATATATCCTCAGACTATTACAGACCAGTAATGACTCAGTGCTATGGAACTTTATCTTGCTGGACAAATTGGTTGAAGTCAGAGCCAAAGACAAATGCCAGGTAACCTCATGCAGAACAGTTAACATTAACTGGAGGCATTGTTGTCAATATATAATGGCTGCACACACACACACACACACACACACACACACACACACACACACACACGCACACAGTACCAAGATGTTTTTGTCCACACCTTCAGGGGAACTGCTTTCAAATCATTGCATCAGCTGAAAAGCACAGTTGTAATGTCTTCATGTATGTACTGTTCAAATGACCTAACGGAAAATGTAACCTAAAAGAGCAATGTTTACACATACATCTAAATATATGAGCTAAATAGACCTCATATCAGAGACCCACTGATGCCCGACAACTTTTCTTTTCAAAAGTAAAAATAAGATTCAGGTTACATTATGTTACAGCGGCCCACTGAGTGAAGAAAGAGACAAATAACTGATAAAGATACAGAGATATGATCAGAAAGCTGTTCTTTGATATGCTAAAAAGTAGTATGAGCAAAATATGGGGGCTGGGGACGTGTTTCCAACTCCCATCAGTTGTTAAACTTTCTGCACATGACAATGGTCAGAAGTGGAATGTTCTCTGGCAGACAGCTGCTTTGTGTGAAGATGGTTTATGTGGCAGGAGAGCAAGGACTGTCCACTCACCACCAGGTCTGGTATCTGTTCTTTGCCTGGTGAGTGTCAAAAAACATCAAATGTCCCAAATCTATAATCTACAATAATAATAATAACATGAATAATAATAGTAATAATGATAATACATACATTTTGTGTAGCCCTTTTCAAGAACTAAATTTTACACTGAGGAGCGCTGATGAGACAAACAACAATGTGACTCAGATATACAAGATGTATGTAAGACAGTATGTGATGATCAGACAAAAGACTAATAGCAAGGATCACACGAGAATAAAGTGAAGTACAAGAATCCAAAAGTTTACTGAGAGCTTTGAGTCACAAAAGACAGAACAAGCAGTCAGCAGAATAGTCACTCTGCATACAAAAAAAGCCATCAATAAAAACCTAAAGAGCTCACTAAGAATAAGGCAAAAAAAGAAGCAGACTACAATTAAAATCCACAAACAGGCTGAGGTAAATCACTAGGAACAAACAAACGCTGGAGCACTAGTCTTGTCCAAGGAACTGAGACATTCTGGCAAATGGGTAGTGAACAGCTGGGGTATAAGCACTGGGAGGTCTGATGAGATAATGGAACACATGTGAGGAACAAAACAGGTGGGAAACTAAACAATGGCAGGAAGTAAAGCAACCTAGGAAGCATGGGTAAGTGAATACGAAATACAACAGGATGGGAAATTAACCAGAGTCCAAACGAGTCGTCACACGGTGGAGGTCTTTAATGAGTGGGGTGCTGTGGTGCCAGGATTTGGTGTGACCAGTTGGAGTCTGTGGATGGAGCTAGCACTGATGCTGTAGATGGGGTGACTTGCAATGATCAAAATGGCAGGAATTGAAGGAGTGGATAAGTGTGTCATCAGCAGTGCATGCGAGAGAAAGCCGGATCTTAGCAATGTTTGCAAGTTGATAAAAGGGCGATTAGACAATTTGATGGATATGGGGGTCGAGGGAGATTGTGGGGTCAGTGATCATGCTAAGGTTGCGTGCCTGGGAGGTGAGGGAGCCAGTGGGGCCTTGAAGGGTGAGGATGGGGTCTTTGATTTTGTTGTGGGAGCAGTTTGTGAGTGTGACGAAGTGAACAGGGAGAGGCGTTTTTTTGTTTTTGTTTAGTTTTTTGGGGTGGGGGGGCATGGAGGGGTAGGACTGGCAGGAGTGGGGGGCTGCTGGGTCAGGCACAGGGGGCAGTGATGTATTAATAGTGGTGATTTTGTGAAATGAGTTGCATTGTTATAGAGGTGTAGAGGTATAAAGGTAGCAATAGGGCTTGAGAATCTTGTTAACTGTAGATAAGAGGGTTTGGGGGTTATGGCTGAATTCATTGATGAGGATGGAGACGTAGGCAGACTTGGCAGTGAGCACATCTTTGTAAGCAGAGAGGGGGAGTTTCTAGGCTTCTTGGTGGACAGTGAATGTTTTCTTTGCCACTCATTCCAGTTGGGGGCCAGTCTGTTTCATTGTGCGGAGTTTAGGTTCATGTTTTTTTGGAGCATCACGATGATCTAAAGAGTCCACTGACGCTGAAGGGAGACAATAATGTCCGGCTGTTGAGGTTATTTACGAGATCATCAGGTGAGGTGAGGGCTGATGCCAGGGGGAGAGCACTAGAAAGCGTATCTCAGTGTTGGAGGAGATTGATGGATTTAGTGTATTGGAAGGTTATTTCTCTGACGAGTTGTGAACAAGAGGTTGGGGATGCAATAGTGAACTGGATGTGATTATGATCAGACAAGAAAATTGGGACAGGTGGATGTTGAGTACCGGCAATGCACCAGTAAGTCTGTCACTAATGCAACAATGGCCTCCCTGAAATGGCCACTGTCCTTCCTTAGCAACTGTAACTAGGCGCAGGAGGCCTGTCAAGCTTTCAGCGGTATGTATGGAACCTGCAAGTCTTACAGCAGATATTATGATAGTTTAATGGAGAGTGTTGTAGCCTCAATGAAACCAAAAAACAACAACAGGATAACGGATATAGATATAAGGTAAAAAAAGACAAACTCTCACACAACTCATGCAGTTTAATCCAAGTGTCATTTATCCCATCGTATGCTCAGTACCTTCCAAACACAGGTATCTTCACTAAAACTTCACTATTTAAACGGTACTCGGACATACGAGTAGCGTGCCTGTGTGAGACTGTTCATGCTTCAATTCATCAAGAATGTTCTGTTTTTTGAAAGAAAAATGTTTTCTTCATGGATTTCAGGTAACACAGGGTGAGCAAGTGGTATACAATTGATCATTTTGGGGGTGAAGTATTTCTTTAAATTGGACACAGTTGGTATCTATCTCCTACTACCACAGCCAGTCTGTACAAAGCATGCAATCTAGACTTCCTTTATTATTGCTGCAGTGACCGCTGGCTGCTCCTGTCCTCTGGTGTGTCTGGCATTTTTAAACACTATTGCCTCTGCCTTTGAGATAGTATCAGAATGGTCTAAGGTTTATGAAAGAGAAAAATGCCTTTACCTCTCTCACAGGTGCGTGACCAGTAGCCAGTGCCAGTGCAGTCACAGATGAATCTATTCCAGCCTTCTTTGCAGACTCCTCGGTTCTTGCATGGGTAGCTCTCACACTGCTTGCCAGGCTGCTTGTTGCACGAGGGTTTGATGCCAGCGCCATTTTGTGCCTCAGCAATCTGACGGATGTCTTTGCTTCGACCGTCAATGAAAAGGTCACGGATACAGCCCACATAGCCATAGTTGAGCATCGCTGTCCAGAGCTCAGTGGGCAGGATGAGGTTGGTGCGGTCACTGGGAAGCCCCCCCAAATACATGTCGCCCTCCAAGTCCAGAATCTCACTCTCACCACTGGCTGTGAATGGGGTCCTTCTGCTGTTTACGGAGATAGTCCCTGTGGTGGGGATGAAGGGAGTAGAGATCGGGTACAGAGCTGAATGGATAGCAACAGTGGCACAAGATAGAATGGTGTTAACCAGGGAAGAAATCAATTCCATTTTTAATTCCATTTATTTTGTATAGCCCAAAATCACAAATCACAAATTTGCCTCAAAGAGAAATCATTCTGTATACACAATGATGGAAGCAATGAACTATTACAAATTATTGTCTCATTGTATAATTTAAAGGGGACATAATATGCTAATTTTCATGCTCATACTCGTATTTTTAGTTTCTACTAGTTGCTAAAAAAAACTAATATTTTTCTCAAACTGTCTGTCTGAATATACCTGTATTCCCTCTTTTTCTGAAGCTCTCAGTTTTAGTGCCTGTCCTTTTAAGCCACCCTCCCTAAAAAGCCCAGTCTGCTCCGATTGGTTTGGGAGAAAAATATGGCGCACCTTTGCAAAGATAGTTCTCAAGCTGTAGGTGGAGATTGCCAGATGGGGGGCAACATATTCTAATAGGCCTGTATGTGAATTAGGAAGGGGAGCAAAATATGAATGCCTTGTTGAATCACGTGTTTTCTGATCTAAGCAGCCCTGAAACTGTCATGGTTCAAGAATTCTAGAAATAGACGCAAATACAGAAAAGGATGAGGAGGCAACAGGAAATATGGAATGATGTAATGATGAGTAAACTTACAGTGTAGGAAAGACTTCAGGCAGGAAAGCAAATACAAACCAGGAACACGGATAAACTCAGAAACTGTCTGGACAAGGTTAGACGACCAACTAACACAGAAAAGGAATGCACACACACTAAATACACAAGGAGAGCATGGTTATCACACAGGGTTAAACAAATCAGGGCGAAAAAGTTCAGAGTCCAAATAGACCTCTGGTGGATGGCCCAGAGGGCGACATCCTAGTCTGGTGGATGGCCTGGAGACAGACGACAAAGAAAGGACATCTCTGGAGGCTGACGCCAAAGGCAGGACCTCTCAGGAGGCCAGTATGCAGACTTGAGATCCGAATAAATTGCTGGAGCCAGAAGATTCTACTGCAACACGGTCCAGGGGGAAGACTGCTGGACCGGGTTGCAGGAGTTCAGGAACCGATTCAGACAACTGAAGCTTGGATCGGGACTTGATTTCAGGGAATTCAGTCGCCAACTGATGACCCAACTGTAGGTCTGAACAGGAACAAGAGGTTGCTGCAGCCTACCAGGAACAGGTATTGGCCGGACCGGAAATGAGAAGCAGGTGTCGGCCACAGCTGGGGAGGATCTGGTGTCGGTTGGACCACCACAGAACACAAGGAGCAGGTTGGACTACCTCATGACACAAGGAACAGGCTTGATGTCCTCTGAGACTTCTGACAAGATGCAAGGAAATGGCTTGATATTGACTGAAACCCCCGGTGCAAGAACTGGCTTAAAGTTGGCAGGGACCCCCGACACAGGAACAAACAGGACGTCAGTGGGGATAGCTGACTCAGGAACACATGCAGCAAGACAGCAGAGACAGCCAACTCGAGGTTCAGCTGGGTGCCAGGCTGAGCATCGATCATGGTACTGAGAAACAGAGGCCCGGGGTCACTGGGGTCACTGGGAATTTTGGAGGATTGATGTCTCCTGCCAAGATGCAGCCTGAGATTGAGACTGGGGTGCAGATCGTAGGCTAGCTGGGAGAAGGCATGCAGACTGGAAGCTATCAAGACCTCCAAAGGCCAGGCTGGTTCCCAGAAAAGGGTCTGGGGCTAAAGCAGGCTCAGGATACGGGGACAGCAGACTCAGGAACCCAAGGTCCATAGACTGGTATAGAGGCTGGTTGCTAGCAGGCTGGAGGTTAGCAAACTGGGGTGTAGACTGGGGGCTAGCTAGCTGGGAGACAGGCAGCGAATCAGGGGTGTTTATTAAGTCCAAAAGCCACCCAGATAAAGACCTCCTTAGCCATGGCTTACAGGAAACCTCCATGCATGCCAGCTTCAGAGCATGATCTTTGATCCCCCCACTAGGAGCTCATTTTTATTCCCCATACAGGCAACCAAGGAAATATACCAGTTAACACAGCTCATCATCAAATAAATCTGCTGGGTCCATTATTTGTCAGTTGGTACTGTCAAGTTTCAAGTATGGACCAAAACACAGAAAAGGATAAGAGGACAGCAGGATCTGACTAATGAGTAAACTTACAGTGTAAAGTCCAAAATCAGGTAGGAAACTGAGGCAAAAGTGAATTAAACCAGGAACACTGACAAACTGACAAACTGTCTGGACAAGGTAAGACGATGAATTGACAAAGAAACAGGGGAAGCACATAGAATGAAGGCACAAGGACAACAGGGTGATTACACAAAGGTGGAACAAAGTAAGTAAGTCAAACCAGACATGACACAAGGTGAAAGTTAACGTACAAAAAAAAGAAAAACAGGAAACTAAACGAGAAACCCAAGACCATGGCACAAATGACTGACTCTGACACAAATGTCTTCTTTCCACGGTTTGTGGGTTGGTCAACACTCAAGATACCCAAATGTATACACAAGCACTGGAGTTTTCATTATATGACCCCTTTAAATGTGTTTTGATATCATATTCAGTTCATTCATTTTTTTGCTATTTGAGGGTAGTCAACAAATCTTCGGTAACAACTTCATAAGTCATAAGTACTGGATAACTAATTAAAAGTACAGTGTTTAGTTTTTTTGTATTTCGTAAAGACAAGTACTGAAGAACTTTAACAACTATTTTTTATAGAAAAAGGTTATTAGAGGTAGTAAACCTCACTGATTCACAAACACAACTGACCTGAGCGTCCGTCTCTCTGGATGTCCACGTGATACCATGCACCATCATTGACCTTTGTCTGGGTGGCCTTTACCTTGATAGTCCCTGAGCCCATGTCCAACAGAAGGTACAGGCTGCCATCCAGCAGCTCTACTGCAAAGAAATCCACCTAGAGAACGTCAAATGAACACATCAACAGAAGTTTAGCAAACAATTAAAGTCATTTTACTGAAAAAGGGAATGTAAGTTGTGGTTCCTGTCTGTGAATATTTGACTTGGAATGAAAAGGCTGTCATCTGTCCACCTTCCAAACAACAAGTGTGGTTGCCTTTGACCTTAAGAGTTAAAATCAGCACGTGATCTTGGGATTACGGACTGACCTTGGTGTTCTTCTGGCTGCGAGCAGCGTCTTTGCGTTCCTGAGGTTTGCCATGGGTGAAGAGGATGAGGCCGTTGGGCTCGGTTGTGCGGAAATCGAAAGAGATGGATCCCATCCGCTTGGTGTTCCACTTTGGAAGGCTGATGTAGGCCTCGGGAGTCTCGAAAGAAATGGGGTCCAGAGTGGCCACATTCTCACACTTGTAGGACACCTCACCCTGGATTTTCATCTTAGGGTCCACAATGCGAGCCAGGCGGGACAGCTCAAGACGGATGTCATTGTTCTTATACACCACCTGTGATAGGGCAAGGATAGCATTACAGTTATTATTCTATTGTGATATTGTCAAAGATAGATATATTTACTCTTTTCACCTAACCAAGTACCTCCAGGACAACTAAATAGGTGAGGATCAAACAAGGAATCCAATATGAACCTCAACATATCAAGAATGTTATCTGTGTTTTCAAGATAAATGTGATGCATATCTGTAGACATGAATGCCAATTCAAACTCACACATATTTACAAGCCTGTCTATTAAGACTTAGATGCGAATCTCCAGTTTGCATATTTCTTACTGAATATGGGCCAATAATGATCGGCAGTAAATGTTTTTTGAACACTATGATGGTTAAACTGTGTAATTAATCTGCAGTTCCTATGACTCCCTGGTCATTTATGAATCTTAAAAGCTCCGCTGACACTTTAGTCAGATACAAGGCTGGAGTGTTGGCTCCCTCTGAAATGTTTACAGCAAGGCTGCAGTAAGTGACTCGACTCTCTCAAACACACAAAACATATTACTAATTCTGATTCATTTTTATTCAATAGAAATACAATATTTTATTTCCGAATCTAGAATTGTAGGTTTTTATGTAACTAACCACTATAGATGACTAATGACAAAGTCAGTGTTGGTCAGTCTGTCCGCTTGACTGACAAAACCATTTTGCTGCAATAAAAACGACTTACGTGAGATGAACCGAGCGAAAACTTATAAGATAAAAACAGATGTTGACAAACTACTACATTTATTTGTTGAAAAAGGGCAATCATTTGCAATATATCGCAAAATGTTTAAATTGTAAATAAGATCACATTGTCACTTAAGTATCGTGATGATATCGTATTGTGGGGCCTCCGGTGAATCTCCATAGGGCCATGTCCATACTACTCCGTTTTTACTCCATATTTGCTACGTTTACACTGAGCGGCCACACTACACCGGAGTTTTGGAGCACCCTAAACGGAGGAGTCTGAAAACTCCCCAGAGGTTGGAGGTATTTGAAAACTCCGGGGTTTTGGTTGCGTGTGGACGGTCGGAAACGGATGTGTGTTCGAAAAAATGAGCCCACACCCTGTTCGCTACTGAAATGGTTATTAGCAGCCATGACGTCTCCGTCCCTGATTCGTCACACTCACTATCACGTGACCCGTACCCGGAAGAAAACAAACAGCCAGGGCGACCAGTAATTCATTTCAACATGGATAACCAAAGTAAAGTCTGCATTTCTGTGGAGGAAGCAGCTGTTGGAGCGATTAGCGAGCGCCGTGACCAGCTGCGTCATCAGCCCTATTAAGCGGCCAAGCCAGTTAGCCGTAAATGCTATTCAGAGCTACGAGTTACAACAACAACAGTTAGTGCCTCGTTGTTTTTAGATTCTTATGAGAAGACACGGTGCTTCATTTTACTTCTTCCGTTTGGTACCCTTGAGAGACCTTAGTCTGTAAGTATGTCTGTATGAAGCATGAAAAGATGTACGAAGATATATTATATTCGCTAATACTAATTGCGGTTAGCATTTCCCCTTTGGCGGTAATGTTAAAATTAGCTTAGAAGCTAGCTAGTCGGACATGTTACATGATGTTCAGAGCTAGAGTTGTGCCCTAAAAGATGGAGCAATTCCCCCATGCCCTAACGAATTGATAGAGGGCGAAGATGCTGTCCCTATTTTTCTGCTGGGTGACCCAGCTTATCCCCTGATGCCGTATCTCATGAAGGAATACCCCAATGGCGGAGCTACACCACAGGAGCAATAAATGCTATTCAGAGCTAGGAGTGACAAACAGACAACACAGAGGAAACGAGTGAGAGACGAGTGAGAGACGAGTGATCGACGTGTGTTGACCACACTTATGGACCCATAATCTAGTAAACGTTTACGTGTAAGTGTTGATTTTAAAGTAAATTTGATGAGAGAGAGAGAGTGCCGCAGCGCTGTAACTACGTCTGAAAAATAAAACTTCTAAAACTTTCCACGAACTGTCTGTTTGAGTTTATAGAGGAAGATCTTAAGTATCAAATACAACCTTTCATTATTAAAGACTACTTTATTACTCTGTCGTATTTTGTTTAACTAAGCAAGCAATCCACTTCCTGTTTACACCGTCACGCGCATGCCCAGTGTACGTTAATGGTCACGTGCTGTCCGCCTTCGAAGGCTGCCGTGTGGATGCAGATCAACTCAAGAATGATGCTGAAACTCCTGTGTGGATGGAGATCGTTTCTATTTGACAAATCTGCATCCAAGGAGAAAGGGAGTAGTATGGATGTAGCATCACCCCATTAGGTACATTTGCATTCTAATTCTAACACCTTGTTGTGTGCTACAGCTAGGTGCAAAATCAGTAATGGGCCTGGACAGCACTGGCCTACCCACATTGTTCACCCAGCCAAGTTTAACCTGATTCAAAAATACATTTTGTAACAATAAATATTAAAAAACATATACAAATCCGTGTAATGTAATTGCTTTCTAAGGTCCTGACACTGAACTACATTTATCCAGCTAGTTAGCTATGTTACATTAATGGGACAACAATATCTACACAAGTTCTTTAATGCAGTGATTTTTTAAAAAGGAAGAGTTGACAAAGCAGAAACACGTTTTTGTAGGAGCACCCTTAATGCCTCGAGTTGAAAAAAATTCAACTCAGATTGGAGAAGGAAGCATGTGAATTGGGTTAATTCGTGGGGAGTGGAACTTGAGACAATAACTGTATACGGCCGACCACCCAGACAGATTTGCTGGACCAAACCACTGAGAGGGAGGAGAGCCGAGATGGAAGCTAAGCTAATCCAGCTAGGACCTACGGCTATTCCCACACCCAATCCGCTCTTGGTTTATGTCCGAATACTCAGGAATACTCAGGCTAACCCAGCAACGGGAAGTCGGTGGTTGTCTAAGTCTGCTTGTATAGAAGTCTATGAGAAAATGACTCTACTTCTCTCTTGATTTATTACCTCAGCAAACATTGTAAACATGAGTTTATGGTTTCAATCTCTAGTTTCAAGTCTTCTTCAATACAGCATGATGTTCATTTAGTAAACTATGGTCCATTTGGAGTCAAATAGACCATAAAGCAGGGGATGCTGTAGGCGGGGGGCTACTTTATGATCGACAGATCGCATATGGCGCCCCTTCCACGCTGCCATTCCTCCACAGTCCAAATTTGGTCACTTTCGTTTGCTAAAAAATATGATGGCGACGGCCAAAATCCAAGATACCAAAGTCGAGGCTTAAAAACTTGAGTCCACAAACCAATGGGTAACGTCACAACGACTATGTTAACTTCTTATTTACATTCTATGGTCTTTGCTGAAAACTTTAGCCAAAATTTTAGATGTTCATGTGTTGTTATATCAACAGTGACTAAAACTCTAAAGACTAGTCTTTTTCCATCTGTTAGTTTGTTCCTGGCATTTATCTGCCGTTTCTCCACTGCGGAATCTTAAAAAGGGTAAAGAAGAGAACGTGAATGTGTGTATTTATATTTATTTAGGTCATCCTTCAATCAGAGGATCTGCGGTTCGAACCCCGGCTCCGCTAGACTAATTTGAATGTTTTATACTTATGTCTATTTGGTTTAAATCTAATTGTTTCTTTGTTTTTAAAACGATAACTAATGTCTGAATATTGCAAGAATAGCCGTGATTTCACAGAAACATCAGAATTGATGTTCGTTTTGTAGTCTACAGCTGGCTCTCTTTGTTATTTTGGGGAGGTGGGTGAGGGGTGTGAAGGTCCCTCCGATTCAGGTCAACAAGGTCTTTGTTTGCCTCAGCAGGGGGATGTCTAGCTGATGATGTATCAGATCAGCGATTATGTCCTTTCAGCAGTGGATGAAGTGTTCAGATCTTTTACTGTCATAAAAGTATTAATACCACAATTTTAAAATATGACAAGTAACATTCAGCACTTTACTTTAGAAAAAGTATGTAATCAGCGAAATGTAATGAAAGTAAAAGTATTGATAGTGCAGTAAAATGTTCACTGTCAGTGTTTTACTCTGGACCCCTTAACTCTCCTCAGGATGAGCCAGATTGCTAAGGGCACTTACTGGTGTGTCACACCATAAGAATAATCACAGACTTGTGTCACAAAAACTGGGTCGGATCCAGAGGGAAGTGGGAGCTCCTTGGAAACCTAAGGGAGTTTCTTGTCAAAACAGAAATCCCCCAAAATGGCAGTGAGAGACGAGTAAATGCTGGTCGACCGCATCAATGAGGCCGTTTTGAATTTTTTTTTAAACATATTTTTGACATCTCCTCCAAACCATGGGTCTGATTGCTACCATTTTTGTGTGGAACATTATTGGACAAATCTTATCACAATTTAGTTTTCAAGATATTGAGCAATGAATTTCAAAATGGCCTGGTTCAGCACATAACTAGACCAAAGTCAACAACCGTTGGGCCAATCATCACAAAACTTGCAGGAGAAAGCCAAAATATACCATGAAGGTTATATTGACATTGACCACGAGGATTAATTCAGACTTCAAATCAGCAATTGTTTGTCCAATCAATACCAAACTCGCAGGATATGTTTCATGACATAGTTGAACCACATTTGTAAAAATTGCTTAAAAGGGGGCCACACTAGTTTCAATAATTTCATTCTTTGATTTTGGAAATTGAGCTGCTTCCTTCTTTTGAGCCAAAAAGGGTTTGAATATACATGTACACGGTATTTACACCAGTGTTTTGTCTGCAATGACATGTCAAAATGACTGCTGTGAAAAGTGCCTATTACACCAGTTTTAGCTTCCCTTCATTGGCTAACTATCCATGTCAGAGCAAACTCTAAATTGTAAATGACATGCCCCTCCTACCTGCCTAATCTCCTTTAATCTTATACTCCAATCAGGGCTCTCCGCTCACAGAATACAGGGGCCTTCTGCCTAGCACATCCCTTTTTTGTGGCATAACCTACCTATGAATGTCAAAAGGTCTGATTCTGCCCCCCCCCCCCTTCAAAATAAATCACATCGAGTAATTGTTTCTCACAAG